ATTTAAAAATTTACTTTTACACTGTCAAATTTTTTTTTTATTATAACAAAAGTTATAAATTTAATATTTTTAAGAAAATGTGCAAAAACTCAATATGCTCTGTAAAATCCTGTTTTTAAATGTCAATGGAATTTATACATATTATACTTATAATGGATATATATTCTCTCTTGTTATAGTACCAAAAAATATTAAAAAATATACAAGATTTATATAAATTGCCCGAACGCGATATTAAAAAATAAGACTAAATCTCTATAATAATTAACCAATTATAATGTTTTTTTTTTATATAGAACATTGTTGTTTTTAAAATTAGGATCTTAAAATGCGAAGCAAGCGCAAGAAAAATAGAAGTATATATTGGAGAAATAATTAAAGAAACGGATTATGTGGATACGGCCTGTATTTTCAGTATGCAGGGGAAAAATAGATATATGTTTCCGGAAATGAATGGCGTGCACGGCATGACGACAGTACCATCGGGCGCGCAAAATGAAAGACACTTCCGTAGCAATTTCCGACTGTAACGTTTCGACTTTTGCGTCGTCTAAAAGTTCGATAGCGCGGTTTATTATCAGGTATCCCGCGTAGTACGATAAAATGTAAGATAAAAGAGTGTCGATCGTGCGCGTCTTCTGTGACAAATAGTTCTCAGATATTTCTTTAACTATCGTAGAAGATCTTGGACATTTTAAATATACCCAGATAATATCAAATATAACCGGAGACACTCGATAAATAATGGTAATGTCAATATTGTTCCCGTTATTTCAAATGATAAATTTAATAGCGACATTAGCTTCACTTATGATACCACTGATAGAGTTTATAAGATATTCGTATTATTTTAATGATAAAAATTATTTTAATGTCATGTTTGTTGTTACAATTGATATCTTATATTTTTGAATTATCAGAATGAGAAGAGCATATCCCTTTATTCTCTATAAGGTTTCCTCTCAGTCCTCATTCTTCTATTCTATGGTAAACGTCTGCAGTATAAATTTTTATTTTTAACTTTCAGCTAAAACGCAGAAACAAAATGATATTACGGTGTTATTTGGTTATTACAGATTTTTCTTTACATTAAATTTTCAGATAAACTCGATTAATTTCAAGAAAACCGTGTGCAAGTTTGCAATATCAACTTACTTTAATTAGATGCATCTCCTTATTTATTACTCGCCCGATTTTTCCGCAATGTGGAGATTTTGAATTTAATTTCAGTTGCGTAAGAAATATAGTTGCGTAATTTTGATAAAAAAATTTTCTAATTTAATTATAAGCATATAGGGTGTTCCATTTCTCGCGCGTTATTTCTTTAATTATTATTGTTGCCTCAATATTTTTGCTGGATAAAAATGCCTTTTATTCTAAATTCGTCAAAGGATCTATTGTCAAAAAATAATGCACGAGAAGTGGGATATCCTTGCATAAGAAACAAAGTGAGAAAAACTTGATGGTTCTAACTTTTTACTTAACGATCGTGCATTAGAATCGAACCGAACAAAATGAGCGCGAAGTGTCGACGGGATGAAAAAACCCATACCTATATTTATAAGAATCGATCTGTTTCGCGGATACTTTGCCACGTTTTGTCTTAATAATGAATTATTTAAAAGGCTGCGGTGCTTGGCGACAGTTTAGAAGAAATGAAAAACAGCCCGTGCTGAATAATTCACGAATCCGTGAAGTTTTTCGATGGATGATGCTCGCTAGGGCATACTTCAGATAAATTTACTTTGCCGATCAACGTATGCAGGTCACAAACACGATGAGCGTGCATGTGTAATGTTGTTTATTAATATTTTAAAGATAACACCATAAAAATGGATATCAAAATAGACTGGATCTTTTTTTTTATTAGCTTTTCTCGTATGATTGAAAATATATATTATATATCGACAAATTTTTTCAATTTCTCTAAAATATAACAATAATACACAGTTGGAAAATTTGTTTTCTTGTTAAAAAATAAATGCGTTAAATATTATGTTAAATATTATGTATACATATGTGTTAAATATTAAACATAAAAATTTTAACCGGCATATTTTTTAACAAGAAAACATAAATATTTTCCAACTGTATATGAACTCGATAATTAAAGTCATGAGTTTCGTCAGCTGAAGATAACAGGAGAAACTTTTGCAGCGATAATTAATAAAGATCATCCGTTATCACGAAGTGTTGCGAATATTCTTAACTCATGAAAATTGAAGCGCAAATATTAATCTTTCGGGGCATATTTCCTGACAAGTTTAATCGGTTTTATCATCGCGTTATAACGAAAACACATTTTCGCGTACGGTCACGAATGTTTATTCCCGTTATGAAATTACCCACATATATACGTTTTCCCTCCAAACATTTGACCACAAAAATACCATACAGAAGAGTTACTCTTTTTGCTATTTGTTCCGCATTAAAACGCGGAATGATGAATTAATGTATTTCTTTAATACGCAAGTATAGGTCTCTACATTTATAAAAGCACACAGATATGCGTATCTTGATAAACCTATTTTATCCAAATCATAATAAAAGACATTAGTAAAAGAATTTTATAAGAGCAAAGTAATTTATCAAATATAGATGGTCTACATATACGTATATGAAAATTGTCATCGATTTAGCTATATAAATAATAAAATTAGCATTTTCGTGAAATAATCAAATTCAATTAGAAACTATTTATATAATAGTAAAATATATAGAGAGAACATAAAAATTTAAGAATGCTACATAGACTAATAATTTTGAAGGTATAAGAGATTAATGTTGTTTTACAGTCTCAAAATTTTAGTAATTACAGCAACTTTTGCTCTTAACAAGCATTAAATGCTTTTCAAATATGTATATGTGATATTTCATCTAGTTATAACTTTTAATAAATATTATTTTGAAAAATAATATTTGAATAAACACAATTTTATATAAAATTCTTCATATTTTATGAAAAATGTTATATGAGATTCTTCATATTTTATGCTCTCTTTATTTAAATTTTTAAACGTGATTTTTATATTTCTTGTTCTCCAATAAATATCCATACAAAAAATAAAAAGATTTCTTCGTAAGAAATAAGAAGCACTAATGTTCAGATTTTCCTCTGTCTCTTATACATATGTATATCTTTCATTTTAGAGATAATAGTGTGAAAAACATTAGAAAATTTGTTTTTTTTTTTATATCGATACAGAATATATATGTATATTAAATGGAAATATCCTGCCAATTCGATATATCAAATTATACATCATGCACTTGCGAATTCTTCGTATCGAATGGAATTATAAAAAGCATCTTGCAAGGAGACTCTTTCATGGACGCACCTTAAGATATTTTCAGATATTCGATTGCCGACGCTTGGTATTATCGTTTATCAAATCATACCAATGATGAGCAATAAAATTCTACGCGAGTTATCTGCTCTCCGATCACAGATCGAGCGATTGGAGCGTGAGCGTTTGATTACAGAGACGAGAGGAATCCTCGACGATGTCGAGGATTTGGGGCACGGCCAGGTGTCAAAGGCCACGATATCGAAATCGATGTCCGCGCGGATAGAACGGAAACAAGAGAGGAACCTCCATGACGCGGTATTTCACATTCATGCGTCTTAAGAATGTGTCATATTTCAAAACATTGAAAAAAACATGAAAATTTCGTAGATTGTTCTACTATTTCTTCTGAGTATCTGTGAAAAACCTGATCACAATTATCTTAATGGTTTGGAAATTATTTAAGTTTAAAGCTTGTATTGATTCTTATGGAAAATCGCAGCAAGAATGTTATTTCCGGTTATTTTCCTCAATTTGATAGATCATTTTCATAGAATTTTTTATCAGAAAAAGAATGTTGCAAGCCACAATGCGTTACGATCCATAGTTTTCGAGATATCGATTTTTAAAAGTCGTAATTACAGTAATACTTTCACCACAACAATTGATAGTAATTTTCTGACACCATGTATGTTTTATAAAATATATTCTTAACAGATTCATTTATTTATGTGTAGAAAAATCAAACGCGTAGGCGGGGGAGGGGCTCCGCCCCTTTCTCTGCACCCTCCTCCCCGAAAAAAGCTAACCTAACCCAACCCATGTCCGAAGGATGAATCTTTATTTTCAGTATTACTATTATTACTTATTATTCTCACTTTACGTTTTATTCTTTATATATATATGTTCATTTGTTGCAAATTCATTTATTAAAAATTCACTTGTTAAAAATTTTGAAATCTTGATATATTCAAAAAGAGAAAAAAAGAAAATTTGTTGCATTAAAAAATTTTGAAATCTCGATATTTCTTTAAAAAAAAATTAAAATTTTGGAATATCGATGTCTCGGAAACTATTGATCGTAATGCATCGTGATTTGCAGCATGTTTTTTCTCGGTAAAAAATCTATCAAATACATCTATCAAATTGAGGGGTCCCGAAAATAACATTCTCTCTAAAATCGCGTATTATAATATTTATTGACGAATTTGACAAGAAAAAAACATTGCTAGCAAAATACTTTTAGTAACCCAAAATCTTTCTGTAAATTACTCATTTTTTTTTTCTTGTAATTGATTTCAAGAGGTATTCAAGACTAACAGTTTTTGTCATAAATTAGAACAAATATTAATTACAACTATTTTTTTTATAAAGACGTTAAAAATCATATTTTGTGTACTTTAATACTTTTCACAATCCAGATTTATTTATTTGATTTTCCAAACAGTAAAAACGTAAGAAAAATGTTTTTTTTAATTTCGACAGCTTTTTGCTACTATTATACAGCTAAAACATCCTTAACGTTTAGCTATTAGCGCAATGAACAAACGCGCACATACACTACCACGTCCTGAGAGCTTCGGAATAAACGCGAATTCACGTTTCGATACATTCCAATGTATTTCCCGATTGTTCGTAACAAATATCGGTGAAAGTATTCACAAAGAAATGACCGAGCTCGTTCTCGACATAGCGCTGAAACGGTATACTCACACAGTGAAATGGTAGACGAAACACAGCCAACCGCCGGGATGCTCGAGAAACACGTAGAGCCGCTCCTGGAAGGTCTTTCCCCTCTTATGATGAAACACGTACTTGGCCTTGAAGGCCTGATCGATTGGCAGGAAGATCGGATAGTACGGATCGGGCAAGCCGGTCTGATTGGGACTCGGCGGTTCCCCCTCGTCCTCGCCGCCAACCACGTCATTCTCGATGATGTCCTCTTTGCTCTTTTTACGCCGATACTTCCGCTTCATGGGCGTCGGCACCCGTTTGTGGTGAGCTTCGCCGAAGCGTGGCGAACGGAAGCGACGTAGGAAGGTGAAACGGCGCGCCGGCGACGACGGCGCGTCCTCCGCGTTCGCCCCGTTGTCCTCGGTGTCTTCGGTCTCACTGCCGGGCGTCTTCAACGCGGTGTCCTCCGTCTCGAGGCCCTGCTCGGCCACGAGCTCGTCCTCGCTGCCTTGAAGGGCAGCGTAGGCGGCCGTGGCGCTGCACCGCTTTTCCGCGTGCCTAGAGCATTGGTCCTTGCTTCGTGGAAGACTCTCGTTGTTGTACGCGTCACCTGGGCATTTCCAGGATTTACATTGGGACCAAAGGATCCCCCCAGGATTGCTAGCTATGCCTTGGCACGCTTGATCCTCGAGGCTCGCGATAGAATAACGTCGACAAGAAACGTGTCTATCTAACAGCAAGTCGTTTAGATATTGTGATAAGCATTGTTTCGTTAAATATATCATCATGTCCTTCTTTAATTACAATTTTGATAATGCTAATCGCGAAGATAGTTTAATTTTATATTTCTGATATGATTATCAATGAGAGAATACAATTGATGAATCCCGGATGAATCATCGACGGTAAATAGTTAGATTAGTAGTCAAGCGAAGATTATTCAAATATTTGAGGTGGTCAGAGTGAGGCATTTGCAATTCTAACCACTGGAGAACCGCGGAATAATATCTCGACGCATAATGCGTGCGTGAATACTCTCGATGCGATCGAGAAACCTATTTATGAAATAGAAGCTTATTTACGAAATAGAATCGATAATAACGGCTGTTAAATGTCCTATTATTATTGAATAAAAAAAATTTAGAGAATAATATGGAAATTAGCGATAAAGAAAATTAAGCAGGATTTTAAGATTATTTAATTATGGATTCGTGCACACTAAAAATATAATTCTTTTCAATCAAATAATACATTTTTTAATTTTGATTCTTTCTACTGAAATAAATATATACTTTGTTTTCAAAAATGTTTGTTCTATTAAATAAATTATTATTTGCATGTAATAAAAATTATAATTTTTGAAATAAATTATTCAAAATTTTAATTTAAAAAAATATTTATTTGAAGATAAATAATTGTTTATTAAAATAGAGAAAACTTGTGTTTAAAACAAATAGCCAAAAATTTTAAAAATGTTTTTTTTTTAAAGAAAGTAATAATTAAAGGGAGGAATAACTAAAGAAAGAAATACTTGTTTCAAATTTAAAAAAAAAATTTTTGATTAGTACATTTTTTTCAGTGCACTTTGAGTTAATTTCGATTCAAGTTTTCTTTTTGGATAATTACGTGCATTTCTGCGCGCGACATGGTTACAAAAAATTTACTTTGTCCTCATTAAAAGTAAATTAAATCTGTAACATTATAATAAAGGATAATAGAGAAGTTGACGTAAGCGCATACGTGACATGTATAAAAAAGTTTGCATATACCCGTAAACGAGTTTAGTGGTATATTTACCGACTTTAGAGATAATGTTAGAAAATCAACTTGCCTCTCATTACATTGTTGTTTATCGATCGACTTGGCACCTATAGAGCATTATCGATGTTTTAATAATGTTTTTTCCCGGGAAAGAACACATTTTCGCTTCTCAAATTATTTGACGTGATACCAGAGGAATAAAATGCAAACAAAATTATCAGCATAATAAATTTATTCAATAAATAATTTTAAAGTTTCTAATATATTACCACAGATGCCTACTTTTTTAAGAAATATATCCAGTTTTGCATATAACACAAAAAACAATAGATAAAATTTTAAATAAATAATTGTACTTAAAAACAAATAATACACATGTGACTACTTTTATAAAATTTGCGAACAAATATTGCCGTTATTCCAATGTAACGTTTCACACAAGAATGGTATTTTCTTTCTGTATCAAAAGTAAAATTTGACCAATTTACAAAAGATAACATATGTAAAACTTATGTAAAAAATAAGAACTACAAAAAATAACATATATTAGAAGTTAAAATTCAATTCTCACGTAATTCAAAGTAAAGATTACTCAAGATTTTATTATCTCTAATCTATCTAAAATTTATAGCAATTTGTTTAAAATTAATTAAATATTTATCACTACATAAATAAAAAAAGTATGTTAAATTGTTTCCGATAAATATTTTAAAATGATTTACATGCAAAATAAGCCTATTGGTCTAAGTTTTTTTAGGAAATATTTGATTCTTGTACGAAATGCCTTTATATATAAAATTAAATATTAATGCTTACATTTAAGTATGCGTAACCAGAAAAATATTTCCTTCTCTTTTATTGAACAAATTTTATACTGTTCTGCAGGATAGTAATAAACTCATCAAATCTGTAATTATTTGCAAGCTTTAACGTGCAGTAATAAAAAAAAAAGTGCGTTCTGAAGAAATGGGGCGCCATATAGACAGACGCGATTACCACAGCTACGAGTTCTTCCCTCAGCTTTTTCAAAATGGATGATTCGACGTGGAAGTTCTATTAATCTCCAAGAATAACGGACAAAAACCGAAAAGATTGTCAGAAAACTGAATAGATTGTCTCGAATAAAAATGCGAATGTCATTTGTGTGTGTATGTGTGTGTGTAAGTATGTGGTTAATGCGCCTCGTATAAAAAGAATAGAAAAATTGTGTTTAAGGATGTATATGTCATATGTCCAAACATTGACAAAAGCATGAAAAATTTCTAGACTGTTCTACTATTCCCCTTCTGAGTATCTGTGCGAAGCCTGAACACAATTTTCTTAACGGTTTGGAAATTATTTAAGTTTAAGCTTGTACTGATGTTTATGGAAAATCGTATATTGTAGCACTTATTGACAAATTTGACAAGGAAAGAATATTGCCATTAAAATAAAAATGTTTACATATATTAACAAAACTCTAATAAATATTTGTGCAAAACTTAATTTCGATCCATTTACTTATTTAAAAGTTGTTTACTAAAAATTGTAGTAAAATACTTTTAGTAATCCAAAAACTTCCTTAAATTACTCGTTTTTTTATATTTCTTGCAGTTGATTTTAGGGATTATTCGCGATCAAAAGTTTTTTTCATAAATTAGGAAAAATATTAATTATAAATTTTCTTTTATAAAGATGTTAAGAACCATATTATTTTATGATATTTTAATTCTTTTTGTAATCCGGATTTATTTATTTGATTTTTCAAACAGTATAAACGTAAAAAATATGTTTTTTCTTTTAATTTTGACAGTTTTTTGCTACTATTGTACAGGCAAAATATCCTTAATACTGAAGAAAAGCCGAAATTTTAATATTACTAGCTACAAGAGAATAACGAAACATTAATATTGTGCACACACGCTTTTGTCATGTCTTTTGTCTACGATTGACGTATCGAAGATTGCATAAGTAGCTTTTATGCTAAGGTCATGAGCGTACATACTTTAATCAATGCTACAAATATTAAGCTGACCTCGATTAAAAAAGTATTCATTAATTTCATATTTTTTATTTCCAGTAAAATATTAATCTCAGTTTCCGTAAAACAAAAAGAATTAGTGGCGAGTTTGTTCGTGCGAGATTTAACTTAAAATATCTTTTGCTATTCTTAAGTCTTCGTAAAAAAAACCACGAGAATTTTCAGCGCGTTGTAAGAAATTAATAATAATTACATGCAAAATATTTGTCAATGTAGTGTTATAATATTTAGCCTACACGACACACACCCCGAACATAAACGCGGAATTATCGAGAATGCCAGAACAATGGAAACCACAAATCCGATTTGCGTGCTTGTGCATTAACGCGAATGAATTGTCGGCGGAGTTCTATTTATAAAGGCAACCACCTCTCTCTTCCTCTCTTTTTCTCCATCTCTATCTTTCAGACGGCGAGACATTATAAAACTCATAACGGATCCAACTACATCGTGAATCGAGCCTCGAGTATCGAGCGCGGTAATAATATTCTTCTCTTTCTCTTTCTCTCTCTCTCTCTCTTTCTCTGCTAAAGCAGGAATTAGGCTTCTTCAAATCTGCCTCTCCGTTAAGGTGATCGCGCAAAGTCGAGCGAGCTATGCAAATCGTCTCGCTTTCAAAAGTGGAAGAAATATATGTATATTTAATATTCGCGTCCGTCGCGCGTGAAAAGATATGCGATGCCGTGTTAGTCGTGTTCCTTTTTCACATTGCACGATAGGCAATGTGTGAAAAATGTAACAAATGTCGCATCGCTACGTGCTAGCACTAAATGAAAAGAGTGCATAAATTAACATTGCAGAGAATACATATGAATTCTCTTTGACAAGACCAGTATTCTTAAATATGCTTTTAAATTGCAAAAGACACGCATATAGACATAGATTATGCTAAAAAAAATATTTTTTTTTGCCATATAATATTATATATATTTTTTACATATACGGATATGTATCTTATGATAAATTTAAATTCTTAGCTTTCCTTTGAAAGAATTAAAAGAGGAAATATATCAGAGAGAGCTCCGACATTTATATTCTCTTATATAACTTTGCGTTTTATTATATAATTCAATACCAGTTTCAACAATGTCGATTAACTTCAAACGTAGTTAACCGATTTTCTCTATTTCTTTTCAAGTTGTAGAATTGAGAAACTAAAGTCTAAGCAAAGAGAGAGAGAAAGAAAGAGATCATCGATGAATCACGACATCAATGGCTAATCTACATCGGCAAAACGACGAATGACCGTATAAATATTCCGTGATGCATATACAACAAATGCAACGTGACCTAGTGCAACAATTCTCCACGTTACATTTCTTCTTGACATCACATTTGTTCGTGAAATCACTCGGAATTCGCGATAACAAGCACAATTTACGCCGAATTAAGGATTTTAATCTCGTATACCTGAATGATTGCACTTCTTATTATTTGGATGACTTTGGCAGTTAAAGTGACTCTGGCTTTGTGACTGATACGGATGCCGAAACTGCTGTCGTTGTTGCTGTTGTTGCTGTTGCTGTTGCTGCTGTTGCTGCTGTTGCTGCTGTTGCTGTTGCTGCTGTTGATGATGATGATGATGATGCATCGATCTGTCAACGATCGGAGGCGTTTGCGGTGGCGTCAACGGTTCCGTCTTCGTCTCCATCTGTCACGAAGCAGATGGATTCCTCCCTACTCTCGAATGATAAAACAATCAAGAAGGCTACAATCGGTCGGACAATCGGCACTGGGGAAAAATCGTCACTTCGGGAACGATCGATTGACGCCTCGCTCGCGTCGAGACACATAAGGTCGATGAACTTCGGATGGAGAACAAGTTCGAGGAGCGTCGCACGAGAGAGGCGGCAGAGATTTGAAAAGAAAAGAAAAAGAAAAAAGAGAGCAACAAGATATTGATACGAGAGTCGGAGCAATACTAAGGCTCAATCGGGGGTTCCCCGAGAGTCGCCGTTCACCTGGCGTCGACGACGACGCCGCCGCCAACACGGTGGCTCCTCCTACCTCTTGGATACCCATCGGTTGGCGGCTCGACTTCCACAGGGGCGGAGCTTCCGGGTCACGGTGACTCGGGGCGTCCCGACGCTATATCTCCCAGTGGACCGCTGCTGTTGCTGCTGTTGCTGTTGCTGCTGTTGCTGTTGATTGATCGGCGACTTGAGAACGCTCAAAACGAGGTCCTCGCGGGGGGGTACAATCCGCGTGATCTGCCGACTCTGCCGAAAGAGCGTCTCCTGCTCGCCGCGATTCATCCTGCAGCCGATACGACGACGTTGAAGATAAAATCCTGGATACCACTCGCGTCTCCCCCGTCCTGGACCGCTACCTAGCATAACAGCGTGCAGCATTCCGACACTATCTTTTCGATTACGGTCGATGAACGGCTTCTCGTCTGCCGGACGATCGCCCGATCACGCGGCTTGTCCATGGTCCCGATCACCGGAGTCACTAAAATCCGCGTTCACGCAATGACAATGTTCCTCTCGTTCTGGGATGCGAACTCGAGCGTAAACTTCACTGATCGTCAATCGCCTTACGCTATTCGACGATTAACAACCAGTTAGGTCGCTTCCTTGTGGATCATCAGGGTTTATCTTGATCGCGGGTTTTTCATTTTAATCCGCAATCGCGTCAGGATTTTCGTCGCAAGAAAGAGAGGGATCAATTCGTAGATTTGATCCTGCCGCCTTCTTTCTTGTTAAACATTACGCTTTCACGGCACGGATGTCGCCGATAAGATTATCCGACCTGGCCGTCGTCGCTGAAACCGTCGATTGCGTCGTCTAAGATATAGAGCGACATATCCTTCCACGTTAGATCCATCGTCAATCGTCGTTTCCGGGGACACTTCTGTTAAAGTTCTCGATATTTCGAGCCTTCGATCGATCGACGAAGTTGGATTTAGGGTCCTTAGAGTCGCGTTTGCTCCTATCCCGTTACTTTTACTATCCCATGTGATCATCCATCAACTGACAAACACGTGTCAAGTCACATGTCTCTAATTCTCTCTTTTTGCAAATTTCACTGCTTCCGTTCAATTTCGCGAACTGATGGAACCGTGTTTATAGAAGCTGTTGCCTTCGAGCAAAATAAAAAACAATCGCAAATGTCAGATGCAGATGTTCGACAGCCGGTTTATGCATAATATCTGCAATATGAACCACCGTAACTTCTCAGGCCCAGAGAACATGGATATTCGAGACATAGAGACAAAGGGCAAGGGGGAGAGACAATATTGGGGAAAGAGAGAGAAAGACAAGAGAGATAGACAACCGGGAGAGGGTGAGAGAATCAAAATATCCGCAGTTTCGGTCCTCCGGAAAATGGATGTCGAGTAGACTGCTGGGACGTCTCGCGATCGATCTTACCTAGAAGGAAATCCTCCGAGTATTTATTCAGACTAATATGATAATGGATTTCCGGGACTCCCTCGAGTCTTCTTTCTCTTTCGGCAAGTGTCTCTCCTATCTCCGCTCGAACACGGGTAAACGTGTGTCGAGCGATATTGCGAAATGTATTCGGCCTATTGCCATTTTCACGACAACACGACGGCAGTGTCCTTCGTGGCTCGTTACATTGCAAATGCACGAGGGCTCTTTTCCCTTCATCTCCCTGTCCACCGTAACTTCTCAGGCCCAGAGAACATGGATATTCGAGACATAGAGACAAAGGGCAAGGGGGAAAGACAATATTGGGGAAAGAGAGCGAGAGAGAGAAAGACAAGAGAGATAGACAACCGGGAGAGGGTGAGAGAATCAAAATATCCGCAGTTTCGGTCCTCCGGAAAATGGATGTCGAGTAGACTGCTGGGACGTCTCGCGATCGATCTTACCTAGAAGGAAATCCTCCGAGTATTTATTCAGACTAATATGATAATGGATTTCCGGGACTCCCTCGAGTCTTCTTTCTCTTTCGGCAAGTGTCTCTCCTATCTCCGCTCGAACACGGGTAAACGTGTGTCGAGCGATATTGCGAAATGTATTCGGCCTATTGCCATTTTCACGACAACACGACGGCAGTGTCCTTCGTGGCTCGTTACATTGCAAATGCACGAGGGCTCTTTTCCCTTCATCTCCCTGTCGCTCGAGACACGACGTTGTCGCTCTCTTATCTCACTTGGCGCCCCGTTGCAAAGGGGCTTCGTCCCTCGTCTTCCTAAATTGTTCCTAGGATAATTACGTGATGATACCTGGCGTTTCTGCTCATGGACCGTCCTCGTCGCTTTCAAGCGACAATTTGCGAGAAAGCCCGCGCAAGCAGTATTTCCTGACCAATAATTACTCGAAAGGAGTGCAAAGTATAAATGTGCGGTATCCTTGTTCTCTTTCCTTTCTCTCAGCCGATTATTTATTCGCCCCAAAACTCTTCGCAATTTCTTTCTTAAGGGAAAAGAGAGATCTTCGACGATTACTTAATTTTCGAGAATATTTTTTACGATCTTTATCGCGGAAGGATGTCGTTTTCCTTAATATACATTATGATTGCTTCGTTATTGCTCTTGAGGTTAACGTTGAAAATCACAGAGAATCAGCGATGTGTGTGCACAGAGATTCGCACGCCGTTCATAAACCTTGATCCCTCCCTCGAACTTAGCCGAAGCCTTTGACGAAAACACTTGACGCGACCTACACACGACCACGGTGTTAACAATGTTTACTTCAACCACACTTCTTCTAACATAACGTCTCTCTAAGAGCGAGTTATAGCGGAGGACGACGACTAGATTGCCGAGAGAGATCCGACAACTTCGACGCCAACTCCGACATGTCGCGATGACACTATCGCGCGAACACGTTTCTCACACGTGTACATACCGTACCCTCGATTATAAAGTTTTGAACGCGACAATGAACCTGTCGAATCGTAGACCGGAACGCATTATCGTCGTCGCCGAACAACGGGAAAGTCGGGAGTGCCTTTTGACCTTTCACGATGCCTCGCGAGATGAGGAACAAGAATTAATCGCGCGTTTCAGCTTTCAGTTTCTTCACCTCTCTCTATCAGGCGGGATTCGTGCCAAATTGATCAACTTGACAGTTCGCGCGTGAGTATTAATGACGAAATTATTTCTCCCACGCCGTAATCCGTCGTCGTGACCGTCTCTTTACCTTACATCGCGCTACTTGCGTTGAAAAAGAGCGATTAATTCTGGAATGACTTAAATTGTCCAGAAACTGTCACACACGTACACTAGTGAACTCGCTGACAAGTTAGAAAAAGGGCAATTTCGTTCTTTCCCAGTTTCAAAGGAATCGTCCCGCTTGCGGAAGGTTCTTTTTTTCTCGTGCCTCGTTCGCGATATAGTGACCCCTTTAACCTCGCTTATCCTTCACCACCATGGCTGAAGCGCCACCACTTGTTTTTCTAGATCCCTCTTTGCCAATGTCTGTGTCAGTTCTATAAATAAATCAATTATTATTTAACGTATTAAAGTTCGCGAATGATTTTACCAGTACCCGTACGTTTGCTCCATCACGGACACGGGGTCATCCGTGAAACGACCTTTTCCGATCTCCTCGCAGATCGAGCTCGCTCCGAGAAACTCTCGCCCCCCCCCTCCCCCCGAGATAATGAATAATCGGACTAATATTTAAGCACACAGTAGAGGCACAAAATTGCACGATTCAATTTACACCCATCTGGAACAAGCAATTATCACGTAGCCGTAATCCTCGTTCCTCCCACCATCCATTTCGTCGATATATCGCCTCCTCGGCGATTTGCCGCCGAGCGTTTAAAACGCGAGTACGAAAACCCCTTCGTCGCGTTGCACAAACTATGTTAGAAGCTATTTAGAATCTGATCAAAGATCGGAGCTGACGACGTGCTACGGATACGTCAACATCGCGCGTTCTGTCATGTCGTTGCGTTGCCCGAGTGCACCGACCTTGGCGAGGAGCTGACCGATGGATCGCAAACTCGATCGCTGGCGCGATTTGTTTGATCGCGATGAGCGAGATTCGTTTCCACGATCACGCGATCACGAGGTCGCGTGCCGTCCGAGACACAGAAGCACTCGCGTTGTTCTCAGGGCGACAGCCCGCAACCAACTGTGGCTCCTTGGCCGCCACCTCGTAGTTCCGCCACCCACCGCAACCCCGAGCAGGGGTAGCCTGGCGCTTTTGCACGCGCTTAGGGGCGCACGGATTACGGAATTCCCCCGAGAGATGTGTTCCTCTCTCTCTTGTTTCCACGTGAATGTGCTATTTCTTTCTCTTTCCGTCTCGAGCATGCCCGCAGTTGCGAGCGCCAGCCCCAAAACCAAGAGGAGCCGGCCACTTTTACCCAGCTGTAATCCCGCCATTCTCCTCGGAATAATCTCGCTTGAAGAAATTAATAATCTCCTCCACGGACGCGCGGCAATGTTGGGGTGGAGAAAAATTTTTGTTCGAAAGCTGGTTCGAAAATTAATCAAATCCGTTACGTTCCGTTTGTTGTTCTTTTCTGTTAAATCTGTTTTGTTTTTTTAAACAGGAATCCTGCCTCTGAGTCCAACATGACGTTTTCTATTATATACTTTTATGCTTTTATGTGCTATGTGTGTATTAGCAAAACATATGTGAAATGACGTAAAAGAATTTTTACATTTTGTGTTATATAATATTATTTTATGTTAAAAAGAGAAATGTAAAAAAGAAAGAAAGAGAAAGAAATAGACTGTAAAATATTACATTATATGTATAGTAATATATTTTTTCTTTTTCTTTTAAAAAGATACAAAACAAATATTGCGTAGGAGAATATGTAAAACAAATTCTTTTTGTTTTCTTCCCATATATTGCATATTTTATTCATATCATTAAATTGTGTAAATTAAAGTAGAAGAAAGATATCAAGAAGAATTGACATATATCAGAGATCTTTAGTCTTTACATAAAAAAAAAAGGTTTAAAAATTTATTTATAATCACAAATAATTATATTGCTTTCTATTAAGTTATATCACGGTTTCGATAATATTGTTTAAAACTGTTTTGTAAGCAAATGAACTGTTGGCTTCCAATAAGTAAACTAGTTCATTAATTTTGATTTATCTTGTTATTAATACATAATTTTAGTTCATATATAAATTACATAATGGAAGTCCTGTTATAGTTTGCAGAAAAATTTAGCTCCTTTATTAAAAATAAAATTTTTTTCAATCAAATAAATACTTTGTTAATTTTGATTTTTTTTTACTTAAATAAATATATACTTTGATTCCAAAAATGTTTTGTTATATTAAACAAATTATTAGTTACATGTAATAAAAATCATAATTTTTAAAATATTTTAAAATATGTTATTTAAAATTTTAATATATAAAAAATATTTACTGGAACAATTATTTAAAACAAAGAAAACCTGTG